GTGGGTAAAAACCTCACTTCTTCGGAAGCTTATGCCCAAATAAATCTGTTAGTCTTTAAGGTGCCACCAGACTCCTTGTTGTTTTTGTAGATACAGACTAACACAGCTACCCCCTGATACTTGACCACAGAGAAGTAACTCCAGGTTAGGGCTGAGCCATATATGCAGATTGTGTATTTGCCAGTTTAAGATGTTCCCACTGTAAATCCAGAGGTATCCAAAGGGTTAAGCATGTCATCCAGATATGAGCTCCCTGCCAGAACTGTGCTTGCAACATTCCAGACATTGGTTTAATTTAAAAATAAAGAAAACTGCAACCCAGCAACAACAAATTACTCACACTCTTCTTCAGGGTTCATGACCACAGTAGAAAGTATTACTGTTATTGCATGTTAGTTACATCACATATGAAGGGGGGATGTGCAAAAGGAGGAAACAGAAAGGGTCAGAGTTAGAAAGCTGCAATATGATTTAGTTGGTGTTGGTCCTGCTTTGAGCAGGGGATTGGACTAGATGACCTCCTGAGGTCTCTTCTAACCGTAATATTCTATGATTCTAGTATCTATGCATCCCAGAGCTGGCACTAGGTATAATTAGACTAAGCAATTGCTTAGGCTCCAAACAGCAAAATGGGGCCCCCTATTCACTTTTTATTAAGGCATTGTGTATGGGCGGCCTCACAAAATATTCCTGCTTTGGGCTTCCAATGGATGCAATCCCAGAACAGTGTGAAGACTGTGAGAGCTAGAGCAAGGGGGTCTCTGAGCTATCCATAGGCTGTAGTCTCTGTGCAAACTCAAAACACCATGCATGGCTACAGGAGCTGTTAAATGGTGGTGCTGAGAGTCCAGCTCCTGCCCGGGCTGCAGCTCAAACTCTGTGCAGTGGCAAGGCACCGTGCAGAGTAACAGGCCAATACAAGGGGTCCGTAATCCACGGCGGCCTGTAGGGTCGATACACTAGCAGGGCACCAAGCAACACAGGCTGATGCAGTGGGTGACTAACCCCTGGCCAGGCTGCAGGCTCTATGCACTGGCAGGGCACCGCGCAGGCTCGTGCTCCCTGGCCGCGGGGAGTCAGGTCAGCACTCGGCACAGCTGCGGGACATGAGGCGAGCAGATTGCAGTGACGTCATCCCTCGCATGGAACGGCGCCCTGAGCGTTGAGGCTGCGTAAGCGTGTGCGGGGCAGGGCCAGAGCACGCGCCTTACGCGGGGCGGGTTGGCCGCGCGCGTGCGCGGGGACACCTGGGGGTGGCTGTTGATCTGGGGCCGGCAGGCGGTGAGTAGGGGGGCTCCCCGGGAGGGGGACACCGCGGCCGCTGCATCTCCCCGCCGGGCGGGACCCAGCCCCCGCCCTGGGGACCCGCCCGGTCCCGCCGTGCCCCGGCTCTCCTCGGGCTTCGCCCTCATGTGGGGAGCGCCCCCTCCCCCGGGGGAACGGGCCCTGCCCCGCTGCCGCCCCCCGCGCGGGGCGAGCGCTCCCCGGCCACACGGTGCCTCAGGGCCGCGCTGGTGGGGGGCGCCCTGGCACTCGGCGCCAGAGTGTGGGGGCTGCCCGCTCCCGCTGCTCTCCGGGGGCATCGGGGTAGAAATGCCTCGAGCGGGCTCCCATTCCGCCCCGCCCCACGGGAACCTGCCCTGGCCCGATGCGCTTTGTGCCACTGCTTTTTCCGACGGGCTAATCGAGGCTTCTCTTCCCTGCTTAGGAGCGTGGCAGGACTTGGCGAGGAGCTCCCGCCCTCACGCCTTGCGAGAGGCCGCTTCCCTCCCCAGCCCTTGGCATCTGCTTTTCAGGACACAGCCACTCCCAAAGGGATGGAGAAAGGCAGCTGAGACGCCCCCGAGGCTCCTGCAAACGGCCTCTCAGACTAGCCTCATCCTACCTAGTTTGGCTTCCTGGGGGTGGGCATTTCTTCCCAGCCTGCTCTGGACCCTTTTTAGCAGCGCAACAGACCAAAGGAGATGGAAGAAAAGGAGCGATGTGATAAATTCCAGCTGGTATCCTGATGCTAAGCGGATTTAAATCTTATTTTGATATTTTTGGGGAGGAGACAGAGGGAAGGAAATACCCCAACAGCAACTTTTTATGGGGTGGGGGAGGAGGGAGGGAGGGAAAAAATGATTCCTACGTGATTTTTGCAAGCAATCAATTACTAAACAAACTGAAGCACAAGAGGGTTTGCCAGCTGGAAGCAGGATTTGCCTGTAAAAGAAGGGATCAGTGGGCTCTTGTTTTGATTGCGGAGGTGGGGGAGAAACTTCAGACTCCTCTGTTTCTCACTATCTTCCCACAACTACCCTATGAAAAAATGAGTTGCGTGCCATGGAAAGGTGACAAAACCAAATCAGAGTCTCCTGAGCCACCACAGCTGGCACCACTGCGTATTTACCATGAGAAACAGCGTAGGGAGCTGTGTGCTCTCCATGCCCTCAATAATGTCTTCCAGGACAGCAACGCCTTCACCCGGGAAACACTGCAAGAGATTTTCCAGAGGTAGGGAGCACCCTGCACTAGCATTGTTAGTTCCCTTTTTGCACTTTATTGCTGGGATGAGTATCTGAAATACCCTTTGTGTGAGTGGCAAGGGGGAGAGGGAGGTTGTTCAGAATCTGACACTACTGAAGGCTGGACATGGCATCTTCTCTATTCTGTCACACATCTCCTATATTAATGATGGAAAAACCCTTATTTCCCCACCACCACACCACACACCATTTCCTGTCCCTCATACTGTTCAGGCTGTCGCTTTGGGGTGCAAGGACTCAGTTGCAGATGCCCTTATGTAATAGGCCAGCTGTAATTGTCTCTCCCTCCCCAATGCTCTTTCCTAGTGTTTCCCAAATTTCTCCCTTCCTGTTTTTTTAAAAGGTAAATTATTCCCATCAAAATACTTTGTTTGCCTTGTGGTCATGTGGTTGGCCTGAGAGTGGGGAGGGTAGGAGAGGACTGAAAAACAGGTCAGAATGAAAAAAATTTGATGTAGTTCTGTCCAAAAACTTCTAAACAGCTGCAAGTTAGAGCCTATGTCTACTTCCTATGGTGTTCTGTGATCAAATGAGTGATTCTTGGTGTTCATTTATGAATGAAATATTATTGCCTTTATATTTTCACACAGGCAAGGTCCTGTATACTCTGGCAAGCTGGATCTAAATTCTGCAGCTAGGTCCCTGTGATCTGACACATTGTGGTGCAAATCCTGCAGCAGTTTTGGATAACTTTTTTTAAATATGGAGTTTTTTGTTTAAATATGAAAAGAAATAATCCAGGCAATAGTCTTGATTTTATGATAAAATTCAAAGTATTTTATGCTTTTCCTATATTTTCATGGGAGCGCTTGTGAATACTACTCTGAAAGTCACTTAACTCCATCAATATACTAAAGGGAATCCCCTTTGATTCTCCATCTCTATCCATAGTAGTCATTGCAGATTAATCTAATTTAGGCTGGAGGTCCATTACCAGACTCTGATAGTCTGGAATATGTGAGAAGCCAAGCTCCATGTAAATAAATGTTCTGGAACTTCATGTCAGGGGACGTGACCTAAAGTCCTTTTTGCCATTGATCAAGGTTTGTGTAGCCCCCATATGCTGACAACACAATAGCAGTGTTCTGTATCAATGAGCAGGGATGTGTTTTTCCCCTGGCTACTCTTCTGAGACACAGCAGCAGTCCCATCAGAATGGTATCCGGCTCACCCATATATCTTTCTTTGATTGACTGTAACACATTTTCTTTTCCAATCTTAAATCAGACTACAATACTATAATGAGTAGTCTTCAAAATGGACCATAATTAACATACTGATCAAGAAGTGGAGCTGTCCATCAGTAGTCCGCAATGAAAAGTGCTGGTGGTTTTGTTCCAGCACAGGAACAGAACTTAATCATGGATGCATTTCTATTGGACTTGGCTTCTGTGTTGAAAGATCTTTCTCAGAAGTGGAAGAGGTTTTGCATATGGGCAGTGGAAAAGAACCTGTCTCCATGCTCTGCCTCCATTGTATCTATCTTGGATTACTTGCTGAACTTAAATGAAGGCAGGAGAGGTTGAAGAACTACATGCCATCTTCAGCATACTGTGCTTCAGGTGACAGTTCCACTGTCTTCAATCATCTCACTGTGTCATTAGATTCCCTAGAGGTTTAGTGAATGTATCCGCACCAAACAATGAACTTATTGAACATGGGATCTGAACTTGGTGGTGACAAAACTAATGACTTACCCTTTGAGTCCTTACCAGTCACCAAAGACGGCCTTTGTAACTGTAATCACATCTACAAGAAGAGTTATTGAATTGCAGACTTTAATAGTTGAACCCCCCTTCATTGTATTCCATAGAGACAAAATGTGTCCTACATATTCATCCCAAATATATTGCAAAATTTGGGACCAGACTTCCATCTGGATTAGACCTGGTATGGACCTCATGTCCTGGTATTCTTCTTCAGACCTTATTCCTATTCACAAGAAGTTAGATTGCATACCCTAGATGTCGAGTCTTCTATTTGCATATACACACAACATCTGTCAAAGAGGACTAGTTTGTATTCTGAGACCTGATTAGTCAGGATGACAGTACCTTATGGTCTTGGGGCTTACTCCATTAAGGCTATTGCACATCAGTGACATACTTCCATAACAATTCCATTTTATAAATCTGTAGGACAGCTACCTGGAATTCTACGTGTATACGTACACAGCTGTATTTGTACAGTTTGGAATCTAGATCGCATACTCTGTTTTGGGAGTGCAGCTCTGCATTCCTTGTGTAATTAAACTCAGCTGATCTCTCTGTGGGTTCTACACCACATGCTAGGTGCACACACTAGTAGGAATACATAGAAGCAGTTCTCAAAGAGGAAATTTTACTCACTGGTAACAGTTTGTATGTTACCTCCACATATTTATACAACCTTCCCACTTTCCTTTTCTTCTCTGAATTCTACTCCTCCGGAAAGAACAAAAGTGGTTGTAGCCTTACAGCTCTCTTATAAATGTGGGCACTGTTTATAGAATGTAAGCTCTCTGGGGCAGGGTCTTGTTCTCTTTTTATGTGTGTTTTGTTTTGTTTGTACAGCGCCTAGCACAGTGGGGTTCTGGTCTGTGATTGGGGCTTCTAGGTGCTATTATTTCTATTATCATGATGCTTAGCAGCACCAGCCTGCATGTCATATGAGTGTAAATATGCAGAGTCAATATTCTTGAAGAAGTACAGTTAAGTGTTGGAAGTGGATATCCTGGAAGAGTTGTGGCCAACTACGTGTGATATGCAGCTTTTGTATGACCAGTAAAAGCCAGTTGAAGTTTTGGGACCATAATTACTTGTGAGTGTTGCTGCCTCTCTTTTTGGCACAGTAATATGCTGACCATGTTGAAAGAAGCAGTAATTTGACCCTTGCTCAGAAACACACCAGTAGTATTAGTAGCCTTTCCTATTAACACCTTATTTCAAGCCTTCCCTCCCTTTTATAGGCCCATCACTTTTGGGTTGGATTATGCCAACATAAGCTACTGTGGCTGCCTCTGAAGACTACCAAGAAGCTTATGTTAGTGCAAAATGCTGCCCACTTAGGCCCTGATGGCTTGGGACCTAGTTATGTGAAAAGCTGCCTCTCCCCTCCTGGTGTCAAGGGCTTTATGGTGGAATGCTCTAGCATCAGGGTATTTTTAGTGGACAGCCTTAGCCTGCACAAGTTGTTCCATCTGGCTGTCCACCAAAGTTTGATGGCCTTCAGGGCACAGTGTAAGAACCAAGCAGGCATCTCTGCTCCCCCAGCCATGTGGGAGGAAGAGCAGGAGCTCCTGGGGATGGGGCTAATATGTGGGTGACTTTTCCAGCTGGAGCCAGACACAGAAGCACTGGAAGCAGCAACCTTTGGATGCTAGTGTTGTCATCAAACTAATTTCTTCAATCTGACCTCTGCTGATTTGACTATCTTACTCCAACTGCCTCCCACCCCTTTTTCTTATGGATCTTCTGCGGTTAGCTGCACTTCTCAGCTATTGGCCCTCCTCAGTTACTCCTCCCCTCTCTCTTTCGCTGCCTCCATCCCTTCCCTATTCCCTCATTCCTTCCTGCCTTCTCCTCACTGCAAATCATATTTAAAAAAAAAAATACAGAACAATAACAAAATGTAATTAACTGGATATTTGCCAACCATCACTCTAACTGGCCTGCTTGTATGATATATGCCTTCCCACTTTGCCCTGTGCCTTGTTTATTGAGATTGTAAGCTCTTTGGTGGGGAGACTGTCTGCCTATATGTTTGCACAGTACATAACATGATGGAACCCTGATCCTGATTGTGGCTGCTGTTGCGGTGCTATCATAATACAAACAAATAATAATGTCTAGGCAAGCTTCTGAGTGAATGTTTAAATGGCAGCGAAGAGAGATTTACTCACCAGCAAGCTTAGCTGTTGAGCTATTATTGTAATAGCATTGACAGTTGGTCCATCTAGTGGTGGTACTGCTTGTTTTAATAGGTTCCCAGATGCTACAGTGATGGATTTTATATACATGTGTACTTCTTCCTTGGCAAACATGAAAACATACCAGCAGCCAAACCACTCTAGGGTGCTGTGAGCTCATCCTTTCTTATGAGTTTAGTAGGGTCAGACCCAGTCAATACCAGTACTCTTTGGAGGCTTCCTATCTAAATGACATTACCCTTTTCCTTTTTAGTCAGGGCTGAACCAATACCTTGTCAATTTCTCTGCCTGCTGGGTAAGAGAGAACAGACTAGTTCAGGTTGAAGATGCCAGGCTCGGCCAGTTGTCCGATTGGGATTTTGAACTGTGAGGATGTATAATAAATCGGATTGCACAACCTTTCCATTGAATCCTCACCTTTCAGCTGAACTTTGTATTAAAAATGCATGGGATACAGGTACAACAACCAGTGCCACTTCTAACTAGAATATGGATGCGTGAGCCTGGGAGACGGATGCAATGAACTCCTGCAACAGTATTCTTTCACTTTGTGTTCACAGACTGTCTCCCAACACCATGGTGACACCACACAAGAAGAGCATGCTGGGAAACGGGAACTACGATGTGAATGTCATCATGGCAGCGCTTCAGACCAAAGGCTATGAAGCAGTTTGGTGGGACAAGCGCAGGTACTAAGAACTAGCTTTTAATTGCTATAGTTTGGGAGAGAGCTGCCTTGTGCTAGGGTTTATAACCGAGGAAGTAGGAGAAATAACTGAATACCATCTCTGCTCTCTCTGCTTGCCCAGGGATGTTAATGTCATTGCCCTCTCTAATGTGATGGGCTTCATCATGAATCTGCCCTCCAGCCTCTGCTGGGGTCCCCTGAAGCTCCCCCTTAAACGACAGCACTGGATCTGCGTCCGGGAGGTGGGAGGCACCTACTACAATCTCGACTCCAAACTCAAGATGCCAGAGTGGATTGGAGGTGAAAGTGAGCTCAGGTGAGTCTCCTTCCATCAAAATCCCCTACTCCTAGCCCTATTACAAATTAAGCATCTGCCTTTAACACCTAGTATCTGGTACAATACAGTTCATGCTTTACCGCCACGGTAGAGTGGCATGAATTCTGATAGCAAAGACTGAAGAATGGGAATGAAATTCATATGCCCCTCCTGGATCTTACCCCATGTGTCTCATTTCTGTGAAGCTAAGAAAACAATTTAGCTAATAGGAGACTTCAAAGCTCAGGAGAGCCTGGGCTTCCTTCCTATGGCTGCTGGTTTTGTCACCATGATGATTGTAGATTAACCCAGATGGTTAATTTGTGGTGACACCTGTAATGGACCGACCCAGCATGCTCTATCATGTTTCTTTAGATGGGGAGCACTTGTTAGGGTTCCACTGATAGTCAGTTATTGTGTGTGTCCAACAGAGAGAGGATTTAATTTGAAAAATGCAGCTTTTTTCCTTAAACCATTTCTACAATGGCTAATGAGCCTCTGCCCATTTTCCTGTTCTTTCTGAGATCCAGGTGGCACTTCTGTGCTTGTGCTAAATTTTCCATGTCTTTCACATTAGAGTGTAAAATTGTGGTTCTTACCGTTCATGGTTAATGAAGATTTGTGGCATTTGCTCCTCACATGCCAAAAACCATAATGATTAGCCTTGATGCCCCAGATAAATTGATTCCAGTTCGGGGAACTGTGCTCTAGCAACGTCTGTAGAGCTGGTCGTGCCAATCAAGAATTAGTGAATTGAATGACATCCTGACAACCTAAAATTCCATGTGTGTAACTTTCAGTAGAGAATTAATTCACTCCTATGATTGCTGCTTAATACTGCTGGTTTGGAATGGTTAATGTTTCAGTCTCAAAATTGTTGCATTTCAGCATTAAGTGAATGATTCCTGTGTATAACATTTTGGGAACTTTTTTTGGCAAAATATAAGGGAAATTTAAAATTTTTATTTTCATATTATTTGTCCTTCTATCTTTGCTATTGGATAAATCACTGAGTCAGAGAGGCTGAAAAAAATGCATCAGATCCCAGTTCATAGACTGCCAGTAATCATTCTGTGTCACTAGGTTTACCATGTCATCCTTCTGTTTCCTCCCAGTCACCCCACCTTGGGGGGGAGGAGGGGGAAGTGCTTTGAAATTGATGAGATTGCTGATCTCTGAAACTTAAAGAGGTCAGTTTGTTTCAGTCGCGCTACATCTTGCCAATTCACAAGAATAGGTGTGCGTGTCCTTGGAGAACGGGCAAGATTTTTTTGTATAAACTCTAATAATGAAGTTAACTATGCCCATGTAGTTCTGAAATAACCTGCCAAGTGGTGTATGGATCTAATTAGAATTTTAATATGTAGTAAGAAAAGTGATTGTAAAAAATGACCTCTTCACCTATTATCTTCCTACGTATGTTGTCACATCTGCTTATTTAATAAGTCTTTACTCCTATAGGGCTTTGCAGAGCCAATACTACTTATTCTGGATTTTGTTGTTGTTTCACCTCACTTTTGCCCTTCTTCCCATTTCCACAGGAAATTTTTGAAACACCAGCTGAGAGGAAAGAACTGTGAACTTCTGCTGGTGGTGCCAGAGGAGGTGGAAGCACATCAGAGCTGGAGAGCTGACATGTGACCTGGATTTGCCCTGTCCTTTCTCACTACAGCTCCAGTCCCTCCCCCCACAACCCACTGATGTCCTCTGGCCTGGATAATGGGTGCCCTAGCTCTTTTCCTCTGGAACTTCCTTTCATTGGTCTCTTTTCTTTCTGTATTGATGGTGCAATAGGACAGTGGCATAGGGTATTGTGGGGGCCGAAATGGAGGAGGAAGGAAGCCAGTCACTTTTTAATGAGGAGAGGGAGTTCTATGCTTTTAAACTGATTACCTTGCATAGTGCTCTTTAAAATAAGCTTTGGGGATAAGGTGTTTGGAACACTCTGCTGATTCTTCCCCATACCCCCAATATCTTAAAGACTAATTGTGGTTGGACACTACTCCCTCCAGACTTAACAAAACTTCTTTGGATGGAAGGTGTCAAGCATGCTGCCTCCTCTCTGAAACAGTCTCTACCCCCAAAGCAAACTATGCTGGATACATTTGCAAATCATGGGGGACTCTCAGGAAACTGTTGAACACTAGCAATGGTATGGTGCTCTGTAGAATCTCCTGTTTAGTGAGGGTTTGTGCCAAGGGTTAGGGACAACCTATCTTTAAAGAAACTCTTGGGGTAGGTTGGGGGGATTCTTCTCTAATGTTTTTAGGGACTTTTGTTATGCAGATGGCTTAGATGCTTCTTTGGATAGGGCAGGGCAGGCTGATTAGGGAGTAGAAGTAGTAACAAGTTTAGGCTGGTGCAGAAGCATCACATCTGGAGTGAGAGAGGCCACCGGAGGCTTGTAGGGGGTTTTCATTGGTGCGGTATATAACATCTTAATTGTTCCTGTATGTGCACTTGTTAGTTCAGGAGCTGATTGCAGAGAAGGGAATAAAACTGAAGGTGTTTAAGAGGAAGGAGGGAGTCGTTTCCTCTTATTTTCCTCCTCTGGGGAAGACTAGCCATGGCCATGAGAGAGGAAGAAAGAGGGTGGAGAAACTCTTCTACAAATAAACTAGGAGTTACGCAAAGCAAAATCAAAGAGAGGCATTGCAATTCTAGATTTCTCTGCCTCCTGTCGTCATCAGCAGTTACTGGGAGAGATGCATACAGGGTTCATGAGAGAGTCTTCCTGATGGTAAAGGCAGATTGGCTAGCATGGTAGCTGAACAAAGTACTTCGGTTTTGGCTGACAGACATTCCCCTGACTGCTGAGTCACCTCACCCTCTGTTCCCTCCTGCAGAGAAAAGTGACTAAGAGACAGGGAGACTCGAGTAGAATTCTTTCACTCAGTGTTTTTTCCTATGCCACCAGGTGCTGGGTGTAGTTTAATCATTCCTTCCGCAGCAGAAAGAGGAAAGGGTGAGTTTGGGATGAATTTCACACTACTATTGACTCTTCCTGGTCAAGATATGTTACGACTGTTTGTCTCATTTCCTAATGCACATGCTGTCCTCCCAGTTATAACAGCAAGTGTAGAACAGTGATGGAAACCACCCTGGGTAAGCCAGTGTCTGAAGCTAAACTTACAAACCACCAAAGCCTTCCCTTTGCAACAGAAAACAGAGGCCATGTGGCAACAGGACAAGAGTGATGGTGTGGTCAACCCTGGACATCCTACAGGCACCATGCTGCAGCCTCCTGACAACACATTGGCAGTGGCTCTTCTGCACATTCTACAGTCCAAACCCAATGTTTCTATTTCTACAAGAGCCCTACTTCCTTCTTACCACCACATTCCAGTGACCAAAACCAGCTGGCAGAATTTTTAAACACATCACAAGCAGGAATTCTGCTTATGACTTGAAGCCATTTTCTAAAAGGGAAGGGAAAAAAAATCAACAGCAAAAGAATTTTCTATGCTGATTAAAATCACACTTTGGAGAGACCCTGTTTGCTTGGAAGCCGCAAGCCAATGGATCAGTGCACAATATGCAAAGATGTTTTAAAAACATTGTAGGGCTGCCTCCCTATATTTGTATCTAATGTCACTGCTTAACCCCCAGGGAAAGGGTGTGATCCAGCTGCTCAGGAAAAGGGAAACTGTATGATCACATCCCTGGGGAATAGTGCTGTGGTGACAGAGGGAGGGGAAACAGACTAATCCCACTGCTTAGGAGTGGGGAAGCCCATGTTTGTTTTTTTGCTTGTTTGGTTTTGTTATAGCCTTGTCTTGGGTTTGTTTACAGAGATGTATTTTGTTTAACCAAATATTAAAAATGGAAAAATCTCCATATAAAGTGTCCTGTCACTTCTGTGTGTTCAGCTGAATTGTTCTGTAACATGGTATGTAAAGGAAAAAATAAATTGTTCTTTGTTATGAAGTTGTGGCCTTCTTGGGAGAAACTACCTTCATCAAACTGCTTCTGAACTCTGATCCTGAACCATCTAGTTGACTATAGGTAACCCTAGGATACCACTCCTGAGACATTGCTAAGTTATCCAAAATTTCTTACCTATCTAAGCTGTCTTAAGGTGGAACCATCTCATCTCCCACCCCAGCACAGCTAACACTGTGTACATAAAACTAGAGGCTAACCACCCATCTGGGTGCAAAGCTGCAACATCTCTTCTAATTTTCCATTAGTATCTGGGGGGACAAGGGATGTCTATTAAACACACCATGTTTGGGTTGAATTTATTTAATACTTAATACAAAAAAGTATGCAGCTGATTTCCAAAATGTAGTTGTTTTATGATGCAAACAGAATCAGCACTGTCTTTAACCAAATGTACTCCCCTTTCCTCCTCCAACAAAAGAAATTGCAAGGAAAATATTTGAAAATAAGTTTTCCCCACAGGGCTCAGATGAAACTTACTACCCTTTGTGATCCACTCTGCCTCTTGGTAAATACACGCCTTCCTTTCTATCGGTGGCCTCTTCTGCCCTTGATTTAGCCAGGAGAAATACAGGATTTTCTTTTGATTGCAGAATTTACTGAACAAACTGGCCAGAACCTAACTTGTGGCCTAAGGTAAGGAGTCCACAGCAGGAGCTTTTCATTTTAAAGTCTCTAACTGCTTGCTGCATGGACTAATTGGATAAAAGGAAAAACTTGTGACCTCTGGAGGGGAAGCTACAGGGAGAAGCCCATCAAAAAAAAAACGGTCCAGGAGAGGGGATTTTGCCCCATTATGGATAGGTCAGTGTCCTAAAATTTAAAAAAAAAGGGGGGGGGGAAATGCCCACCCTGACAAACCAACAGTTCAAATGAATCAATGTTGAGGTCTCTCCATGTGATATGGATCAGAAGCAGCTTTTGGAAGTTAGATCTTTCCAGAAAGTGGAGGCAGGGCCCCTGGCATACTTCCAGACAGCCCTGTAGTGGGTCCTAAGAGAATCTGCAAGAGATGATACTGGGTTAAAAAAAACTATTCAAATTAACTATAAAGATTGAAAACAGCATAGCACCCCTCCCTCCCTGCCCCCAGAGTTCCAGTAAGGAGAAGGTTTAGCACCTCCAATAATAAGGGCTCCACATTTGTGACTGGGCAACAAAATGGTAGATGAAATTCAGTGTTGATAAATGCAAAGTAATGCATATTGGAAAACAATCTCAACTATACATACAACATGATGGGGACTAAATTAGCTGTTACCATTCAAGAAAGATCTTGGAGTCATGGATAGTTCTCTGAAAACATGCATTCAATGGGTGCAGCAGCAGCAAAGAAAAGCTAACAATGTTATGTGGAGAGATTAAAAAGATTGGGACTGTTCAGCTCAGAAAAGAGACAATAGAGGTCTATAAAATCATGAACGGTGAGGAGAAAATTAATAAGGAAGTGTTATTTACCACTTCGCATAACCCCAAAATCAGCGGTCACCCAATGCAATTAATAGGCAGCAGGTTTAAAACAAAAGGAAGTACTTCACACAACACACAGTCAGTCTATGGAAATTGTTGCCAGGGGATGTTGTGAAGGGCAAAAGTATAATTGGGACAACGGGGAATGGATCACTCAATTGCCTTGTTCTGTTTATTCCCTCCAAAGCATTTGGCATTGACCACTGTCAGAAGACAGGATACTGGGCTAGATGGACCATTGGTCTGGCCCAGTATGGCCGTTCTTATGTTTTTAACTCACTCTGCAGGCCTGAGAGTGCAATACTCCTGTCACTTTGCAATACCATTCCCCCTCTGCTATGACAGCTAACTTAACTGCTGTAGACTTATTCAGATAGCAAAGGGAAAAGAAGACATCTCACCCTAGTACTCTTAGTCAAGGGTATCAAACATGTGGCCCATGAGCTGTATCAGGCCTATGATGTATTTGATGGCTGCATGATATACTCAGGTTGTGCAGAATCTAAACCAGTGGTGGGCAACCTACGGGCCGCACGCAGCCCATCAGGGTAATCCGCTGGCGGACCACGAGACAGTGTTTACATTGACCGTCCACAGACACGGCTGTTCACAGTTCCCGGCCAATGGGAGCTGTGGGAAGTGGCGGCCAGTACGTCCCTGTGGCCCCACGCCGCTTCCCGTAGCGCCCATTGTCTGGGAACGGCAAACCACAGCCACTGGGAGCTGCGGGTTGCTGGGCCTGTGGACGGTCAATGTAAACAGTCTTGTGGCCCGCCAGTGGATTGCCCTGAAGGGCCAAAGTTTGCCCACCACTGATTTAAGAGCTCTTCCCCCACACTCCAGCCTAAGTTCCCTCTAAGCTGTGCGGCTATGCAGCAGGCTATCAAGGTCTATGCAGGCATGCAGCGGGGAAAGGCTCTCTTGCCCAGCCCCAGGCTGCTGTGGCGTCCTCTCTCCCCACCACAGCCCCAAGGCAGCCTGTACCCCAAACCCCTGATCCCTGGCTCCACTACAGAGCCCACATCTCCAGCCAGAGCCCTTTGCCCCTCCACCCCCACTCCTAAGCCTCCTCCCACACTCCGAACTCCTCGGACCCACCCCCGCCATACATCACCTCTATATTGGTGCATATAACAAAATTCATTCCGCACATAGATGTAAAAAATGAGAGGGAACATTGCCCCCAGCCCAAATCAGCTTTTAGCCCTCACTGCTGCAAAGAGCACCTTCCACATAATAACTAAATATGTCAGCTGCCTGAATCTGCAGAGAGCTTGGAACAATGAGTCAGAGTGATGAATTCCCCTTCCCCCTTTTAATCTGATTGAAGTAGCCACTGTAAAAATCCAGTGATGACATGCCAACGTCAGCATTAACTGATAACTCTAGCAGATGGAATGGGGTAGTGGGTGCGAGTGCAGCCTTGAGGGGAGAGAGTTGCTAGGAATAAAAAAATGAATAAAAACTTTAGTTACTACATAAAAGCTGTATTGCCCCTTTGATCTCTGTGTGAACCTCCCACTGACATCAGTGGGATTTGTGCTGTGGATTGAGGATAATATGCCATCCTGAATTTATGCCCTGGCCCACGGACCATAATTGAACATGAAATCAAGCCCTGTCCTCTCTGCTAAATGAGTTTGAAACTGCTGGTATTAGAAAAAGAAGGGGGGGAATCCTGGTGACTCAAGCAAGACAAGGTTTATGAAGCCCCCAAAACCCCATCATCATCTGCTAATCTCTATGTTGCAAGGCAACCAAAGAGTATTAGCCTGTGTTCATGGATCGCAATGGAGAAAGGGTCTTGAGGTTTCAGGCTCACCTGTCGCTGCTGCAGCTGCTGCTGTTGCTCCATCTGCAGTTTCTCAGTTTCAAATACAACAGGAAGAACGAGGATCATGAAGGAGGTACTCCCAATCCACAGAGCTGCCCTGGAGAATCTAGAGAGAAAAAATAATCATGACAGAAAAATCTTGTTTTCCCTTCTCCTTTTATATGGGACAGCCCCCTGTTCCCCTTCTGCCTCTACAAAGGGAGGACCAAGAGAAACTCCCATACAGCTCTGCCTGGGTACCTCAATCCTGATTTGGACTAATTTTTGATATTCCAGTGTTGCACACTCCACGTAGCTCTGCCAAAGTACCTGAACCTAATCTGTAGTCGCCTTTGCTATGCCAGTCCCGGCTCCCATACTCTGCTGTATGCTTTAGCAGGATGTGTAGCGACTACACACACCTTCAGCACAATCTGCGCTGCCCACTGACGCTCGCACACAAACCCAACAACCGGTGGCAGGGGCAGAGAACGCAGCACCGGCAGCGCGGTATCTGATTGGTGACCTGAACAAAGCCACGCGGCTCCGACAACCCGCCCCCGCCCGGGACAGCCAGACCCAGCCACGCCCCCGGCGCCGCCTTCTCACCGGTACATTCTCTGGGCCACAGAGAGGGACAGATCGAAGGTAGCTCCCGCCGCGGTCCGGACGCTCTCCGGGAACATCTCGGTCAGGCCCCAGAGCCGCTCGCTCAGGGTCTCGTCCAGCTGGGGGAGGACAGGCTCGGAGTCAGACCCGTGAGATGCCGCTGGGAACGGCCCCTGCCCTGCGCCCCCCACGCCCGGGGTCACCCCAGCCTCGCACATGGAGCCCGCGGACGGCTCCGCTCCCCCTGCTCCCTGCTCCGCCACCCCGGTACCTCGTCGTCGTCCTCCAGCTCCTCCTCCAGCTCCTCCGCCTGGCCCGGGCCGCTCTTGGGCAGCAGCAGCTCCTCGGCGGACAGGGGCGACGCGGCGGCCATGGCTGCAACCAGGACAGAGGGGGAGACACCGGAACCGGAAGAGAGCCGACGAGATGGAGGCCCGGGCAGCGGACAGAGAGACACCGAAAGGGAGGCGAGCGACAGTCACGCGGGAGGGGCTGAGAGCGGCCTCTAGTGGTCAACCTCCCCCCCAGCGGCCTCTGCTGCCCAGTTCTGCAACTCCATCAGGGCAAGGGGCCCTCGCCTGCGCCCCAGCCTAGCTGCTCTCTCCCATGCTCCATCGCTGCTGCCCCACACCCGCTGCACAGCCCCTAGCCTTGCCTTTCCTCTCCACCTCTTCCATCTATCAGTAACTCCTAGGTGGCCTCCTCCATTGCCCACTGCTTCCTGGTCCCTCTGCTTCTAAAGGTTCATGTCCCTAGTTTAACCCTGCAGGTAACAGGCTCTTGCCCTGGCACCTTGCTTAGTGGGTATGCAGAGGGAGAATTAGACCCTGGCCCTCCCCCACTTGCTCATCTCCTCTGCTGCGGAAGGAAATGACCAGTAGTTGTGCCATGGCCCGTGGAGGAAGGGCATAATACATCTCTGTGAGATGGAGGCAATGTTGAGTTAGTGTATAGGGCACTGACGTAGGACTCAAGAGACTGGCTTTCTATTCCCAGATCTGCCACTGACCTGCTGTGTGACCTTAAATGAATCACTCCACCTGTTTCCCCTCTTACCCTTTGTCTATCCTATGTAATCAAACTGTAAGCTCTT